CCCCCGGCCGCGTGGCGCGCCCCCCGGAGTGGAGGGGCGCCGGCCAGCCCCTGTGTGATTTTCAAGCTACTGGGTCCAGGACTTGAAACGTGTGGTCAGCTATGCGATATCCACTGCCACAACTTCCACGCCACCTGCTGGCCTTGTACCTTGCATTTTGATCACTGAGATAAACAGCTCCCACTGTTTAAGCTTAGAAAATCTATTATCTTTTTCAGCAAAACATTGGTACTATAAGATGTCCATGAGTACTTTTATAAGTACTTTTTTTTCTAATTTGCCAGAAGACACTCATGGTCATTGGAGAGGAGACCTGGGCAGAGGCTGGAAAGGTGGGCAGGAAAGCATTCTCAATCCCTTCTCCTACATTTCTCCTTCCTTTCAGAGTTTTGGGCATGCACACAAATGTCCCAGGGTGTTCATAAGTACTCTGTTAAAAAAGGCTTTTGTATATTATAAAAATAATAAATGTTCAACATGCCTACCCCAGCTCCAATGATGCATTTGCTTTTCATTCATGAGTGAGGGTATATTATCTTGTCTCTATTGATATGCTGTTTATATCTAAAAGGTGTATACGTTTTACTAAGACATATCATATTAATGGTGTAATAAAAAAATACACATTTTCCAAATGAAGAAAGTATATTATTAGCAACAGTGAAGTACTCCTTTATTTAAAAATTATGAGCTTTTGGAGCCAGCAGATGGCAGTTATTAAGTTGCTCCAGCATGGCCCACCACAGTTTCATTTGGCTTGAAATTCATGCCTGACACATGTGCGTGCTTGCCCAAGACCTTAGGAGGAGAATAGGGGAGAAGGGACTGCAGCGTGGTCATCCCCCCAGGGGGATTTCTCACTTTCCCTCTTACTGTCTGTCTCTTTCTCTCCACAAGTGTACATGTCCTGAGGCAAAAAAAAAAAAAAAAACCCACAAACAAATGGTTGAATTAACTTTACTTTTAAATATATAAAGCAATTTATATGACCTCCGAGTCAAACTGTTTAATTCAACCACAAACATGTAATCCAACCCCCAAAAAATGGGCTAACGTAACCAACTGAAAAATGAGCAAGCGGGAACCAGCAGTTAGCGTAATGGCTATGTCGCTGGACTCCCACGTAGTCGACCGTGGTTCGCGTCCCAGACCCGGTGACTTAAAACTCATGCTGGCCGCGTGTGCATGCGTGCCCAAGATCCCGAGAGGAGAATGGAGGAGAAGGGATTGCAGTGTAATCATCCCCCCTGGGGGGGTGATTTCTCTCTCTCTGGCAAGCACATGTCCCTATAACAAAAAGAAAAATAAATTCTGTTGGTGCTATAACATGGGGACCTTAACGACATTATGCTAAGTGAAATGGCCAGTCAGAAAAAGGCCAAACAGTGTGTGGTTGTACTTACGTGAGGAACCTAGAACAGTCAAATCCAGAGAGACTCAAAGTAGATTGGTAGTTGTCAAAGGCTGGGAGAGGGGGACGGGGGAGTTATGTCAGATTAGTACAGCTTTGGTTTTGCAAGATGAATCCTGGCGATAAATGGTAGTGGTGACTGCACAGCAATGTGACATAATGCCGTTGTACACTTACAAATGTAATTTTATGTTATGTGTATTTCACTCCAGTTTAAAAATAATAGTGGCCCAGCCACTGGTAGATAGATGCTACCACTGCTGCGGAAGCTAGAGGACAGGGTGGAAGGCCTAATTTTAGTTCTCAGCCAACCCGAGCTCACAGGGGGCAGTTGTGTGTGTCTATAATCTTAGCTAATTGGAAGATGGGCAGGAGGGTCACAATACATTCAGACTCTACTGAAAATGCACACCTGGGGCCAGCTCTGTATCCTAGTGGTTTTGAGATTGGTATCCCATATGACCAACCACAGTTTGAATCCTGACCTATTGGTTTGAAAAACAGGGACCAGCAGTTAGCTTAATGGCTATGTCGCTGGACTCCCATGTAGTCGACCGCGGTTTGCGTCCCGGACCCAGTGGCTTAAACTCACACTGGGCGTGTGGTGTGCGTGCCCAAGATCCCAAGAGGAGAATGGAGGAGAAGGGATTGTGGCGTGGCCATCCCCCCTGGGGGGGTGATTTCTCGCTTTCTGTCTCTCTGTCTGTCTCTCTCTCTGTCTGGCGAGCGCATGCACCCTATAGCAAAACAGAAACAAAAAACATACCAGGCATGTGTGTGGGTGCGCAAAATCTCAACCGAATGGAAAATGGAGAAGAGGTTGTAGCATGACCATGCCCCGGTGTGGGGTGCTTTCTCCTTCTAACTCTGTCTTTCTCTCTGCAAGTGCATACACCCTCTGGTGATTTTTTTTTTTTAAATGCCTGTTTGTATCTCTCTCCCTCTCCTGGAGGGAAAAAAATCAAAGAAAATTAAAAAGCAATATTTTAAGAAATAAATAGGTTTCATTTGAAATAAAAGAGAAACTAAAATATCTTTTTAAAAGTCCAACCATAAAAATGTGAAATGAGAAGTCTTAAATACATTTCTGTCATTTTCATCCAATTCCTTCTCTACACCCTAAACAGACGATCACTTTTATTAGTTTCTGGTTATCCTCCTGTTTGCAAAAATAAGCAAATGCATATATGTAATCTTAATTTCCCGTTTTTCTATACAGGAGGTAACAAAACATGTATGATTTTCTGCAACTTGTTTTTTTATTTGTTAATAAAATTCTGAAATCACTCCATGTTAACACTTAGAGATTCCTCTTCGTTCATTTTTTGTGGTTATCATAATATTCCATAGTTCAGAACTGTGGTTATTCAACCAGTAGTCTCCTGATGGACAATTTATTTGTTTCTACTCTTCTGCAATTATAGATAATGCTGACATCAGTAATCACACATATGTATTATTTTTGTGGCGACGTAACATCAGGGTAGAGTCCTAGTACTAGAATCGTTGGGTCAAAGGTTAGTGTATTCTTCTACATCTGTAAATCTCTAACAGACCCGTTGTTCCTTTATTTTCAGTTGGTCATTGATGCGACTGGCAATGGTGCAATTGGTGCTCAACAATTTGAAGACTTTCTATCCCTTTGCAGGTCATGATCTTGCAGGTAATAAATATCTTAACATGAACTAATAGTGTCATTGCTTTTGACTTGTATGTACTGCATGTTTTTAATCATAGAGAACAGGTTTATGACTTCCTGTTGTGGAAGATGGGTTTCTTTTAACAAAACCACTCACCTATAAGCTCGTTGTGTCCCAGAAAAGTACTGTCTGGGAAATGTAGGGCACTGACTCTGATGTCACTGACTATACTGACACTCTGTGTATAGTTGTAGTCAAGTGTTGGGGGCTTTAAAAATGGTAGAGACATGGAAAAGCAAGCAAATGCAAAAACTGGCAGTTGCTAACTCCAGAGGAACAAAAGATTAAATAGGAAATTAAGGGGGATGATGTTATACTATGCAATTCAGCTGTAAGCTGTATTCCATATATATATATATACCATGTATATATATGGTAACTACTGAAATGCCAATATAACCAAAATTTTTCCTTTTTTTTTTTTTAATTTGCCAGAGGGCATACATGCTCACTGAAGGGACACTAAGAGGGAAAGTGAGAAAGCAGCCTTCATGGGGAATGGTCACACCACAGTCCCTTCTCTTCCATCTCCTTTTGGGATTTCAGGCATACAAGCCTCCATGTTTTTCAATCCACTGAGCATGGAACTTGAACCGCATGGTTAGCCGTGTAGAATCTAGCCACCTTAACCACCAAACCATAGGTTGGCCCCCCAGAATTTATATTTAACTATTTGGAAGGATGGAAAGTGAAATTTATTCTTATATTTTATATTAATAATTCAGTAGATTGTTTCTGAAATTGAAAAATTAGGAACTCACAATAGGCCCAGCCTAGTGGTACAATTGGTAGCAAATCAATTTGCAATGTTGGAAGCCACATGACTGACCACAGGTTTGGATCCCTGGGTTGGCTTGAAAATAAGCCAGATGCTTGCACATGTGCCTGAGATTCTAATGAGTTGGCAGGCTGAGGAGAGGGATTGTGGCATGACACACCCTGATAGGCGCCTCTCTTCTGTGTGCATATACACTATCACAAACAGAATAGGTAAATTCTGAAAAAAGTACAACATGAGCATGCTGTTTAGATTTGTGGGGGTAAATAGCAGGAATAGTTAAAGATTCAAAATGGACTAAGGAGTATGGAGGGCAGAACTCAAAAGTGCTGAGTTTTAACTTTCTGTATTATTTTCATTTTCTTTAACCAATCTTAGCATTATATACCATGCAAAAATTGGACTGATCCAAATGAGTAGGGCAGTTAATTTTCTTTCCACACACATTTTCATAATTTCACGCACATTTTTCATGTGAAATTAAAGTCAGAAGTGGTGATGGTAACAGTGCTTATATAGATTTATTACAGTATTTTTCTAAGTCCTCTGGATTACCAGGCCTACCTTTCCTTCCATACCTCCCCTACCACAAGTGTATGTTCACATCTTATTTCAGTCTTTCTCACAACCACACATAGCATTCCACTGCAAATGTGGTCAACGATATTTTCCCTTTTTAGAACTTCCAGTTAGTTCACCTCTTTGTCATGCGGTTTTAAAAACTCTTCAGTGTTGGGAACAAGTTCTTCTCCGTCGACTTGAAATTCATGGTGGACCACCTGAAAACTATATCGCAGGTCATACTTCTGAAGAGAGTTTGTCTGCAGGACCTGCAATTCTCCGTCACAAAGCATTATTGGAACCTTCAAACACTCCTTTCAAGTAGGTATTCTTGTGGATACTGTTTTTTAAGTAGAGGTCTTACTAGATCAGAATAGGTAGATTTAGAGAGAAATATTTAAGGCCTTTGTTTAATTTGGGGTTCTAGGCTATTGTCTTTGGATTTGTATATTATCTGTGGTAAGTCTAGTGTTTAGCCAACTTTTCTTGAGAAGTTTCACATAATAAATATTTCAGGTTTTTAGGGCCATCTGCCCTTCTCACGAGTACTCATACTTGCCATTAAAGTGAAAGAAATTGTAAATAAAATAAAAATGAACAGACTTGGTCTGAATAGGTATGGACTAATTAGTTTTATTTTTGAAAGTGGAGGCTGACTGGATTTGGTCTGTGGGCCAGTTTATTGATGCCTGCTCTAGAGCAGTGCTGTTCAAAATAGCTGGTCAGGAATGTATTTTACTGTCTGTGAGGAGAAAAAAAATTTAACTAAGAGATAAATCAATGAGGCACTTGCTTTATCTAGAAAGATAAAGAATTATATAATTATATATAAATATATATACTTTTTTTTATTTTTTGTTTTTTCTTCTTTTTCCAGAGAGGTTTTTGCTATAGAGAGTGTGTGCTTGCCAGAAAGACAGAGACAGAAAGCCAGAAATCACCCCCCAGGGGGAATGGCCACACCACAATCCCTTCTCCTCCATTTCTCTTTCAGGATCTCCATTCTTCTTTCAGGATCTTGAGCGCACACACACACACACACACACACACACACATACACACACATCCACACACACACACGCGCATGCGCACGCACACGCCCACTGTGAGTTTAAGCCACCAGGTTCAGGACTCTAACTGCGGTGGACTACATGGGAGTCCAGCGACATAGCCGTTATGCCAATGGCTGGTCCCATATAAATCTTTTTCTTATTTCAGAAAAAAATGTTAACTAAGCAGTGCACTTCATAGCTTAGTGACAGAGTTGGTTGTCTTCTTTCAGAAGCTCTTACTTCATTGCTGAACAATGAGGGGGGAAAAAAAAGTTCATGGAGTGGTATGTGTCCATGATCAACTCTTCAAGTAGCACTGCTTCTTTTTAATTAATTTATTTATTTTGAGAGATTTTTGTTATAGGGCACATATGCTCGCCGGAGAGACAGACAGAAAGTGAGAAATCACTCCTTCCCCCTGGGGATATGGCCATGTCACAATTCTGTCTCTGACATTCTCCTCTCAGGATTTTGGGCCATACACAAATATGCTCAATGTGAGTTTCAAGCTACCAGGTCCAGGATTTGAACCAGTCAAAGATGTAAGAGTCTAGCATCTTAACCATTGTACCACCTGTTGACTCCAGCACTGCTTCTTGAGCTCTTGTAGGAGGTATACTTGTTTTTATTAGATCCTACGTCTAACAGAGTCAGCAAACTATGACCAGTCTCTTGAGCCAAATCTAGTCCTTCTGCTTTTGTAAGGAAAGTTTTATTGAATTTAAATCATATCTGCCATCTGCATATTATCTATGGCTCCTTTCCCACCACAGTGGCAGAATTAATTGGTTATGGCAGAGACCATATTTCCACTTTAAAGCCTAAAATATTAACTAACAGATTCATTAAGAAAAGTTTGCTGAGACCAGCAAATAATGACTATGTTGCTGGACTCCCACTTAGTTGACCGTGGTTCGAGTTCTGGACCTGGCGGCTTCAAACTCATGCCAGGTGTGTGTACATCCATGCCCAAAATCCTGAGAGGAGAGAGAGAGAGAGGGGACTGTGGCATGGCCGTCACCCCAGGGGGTGATTTCTCACTTTCTGTCTCTCTGGTGAGGACACGTGCCTTACAGTAAAAATTTCTCTTAAAAAGAAAAGAAAGGAAAAAGTTTCCTAACTGCTACCTTAGATGATATAGTCTGATTATAAGTTAATTTATCCTAATAAGCATTCATGTAGCAATAAGGAAGTATCGGTAAGTTAATCAGAAGTCCCTGAACTATGTAATTAAATTTGCTGTCTCCGTAGATCTAAACACTATCTGGCACTGTCTGTGAAGAGGCTTTGGCAGTACTTGGTGAAGCAGGAGGAAATTCAGGAAACCTTTATTAGAAATATATTCACGAAGAAGCGGTGTATAAATGAGGTCTGTATAACTTAGAACCTGTTTATTTTATTAAAAGTCTTTTGTGTTATCACTAAAAAATGAGTTCTTTTTTAAAAAAACTTTTTATATCATAAACATCTGCAATTAATGTTTGGAAAAGTGACTCAAAATTGGAGGCGCAGTGTTTCACTACATTAGGTTAATTGAAAGAAATTCAGATAAGTTCAGGACTTTTTTTCTCAATGAAATTTCTTAATGAACTTTGGAGACTCAAATTAATTTATGGTTATACTAAAACTAGCTGATTATATTTTGACATAATCATTGTAATGGATTTCGCTTGTGTGTGTATGTTTGTCATTTAGTTTAGTGCTACTGAAAAGTACCATTTTGATTATATGGGGAACTTGGTCTGAATGTAGATTAACATCTTTCTTCTTTCATTGAGAAAGTTATGCTAATAAAAATGTTAGGTAAACAGAACACCCGGCATAGTAATCTAGCTGAGTCTTTATCTCCCCTGGACTGTAACAGACTTCACAACTGGCTACTGGTCTGTGGGCCATATTTTGAGTAGCACTGAACTAGTCTGAAAGAAACTTTTTACCCTTTTTGAAGTGAGAGAGAAAAACAGAAAATATTGCATCAGGAAAGTCATGTCTCATTTTTGCATTAAAAAAAAAATGTCATGACTTTTCCAAAGACACAATCAGTTTGAAAAATAGGAAAATAAAATGCCATATAACAGATAAGTAATCAGAAAGGAAAATGATTTAACCTTGGATGAAAGGAAAATTACATATGCAGCTGGCCCTTGAAGTACATAGCTCCACTTACACATAGGGTTTTTAAAAGAAATCCATCAGAAGATACAATACTATATTGTAAATGTATTTTCTCTTATGGTTTCTTTCTCTCACTCTCTTCTCTTTTTTTGCTATTGGGTACCTGTGCTTGCTGGAAAAACGGAGGGGGGTGAGAAGTCACCTTCCAGGGGGGACGGCCACTCCACACTCCCTTCTCCATCCTCCTCTCAGATTTTGGGCATGCACACACACGTGCCTGGCATAATTTTTAAGCCACTGGGTCGGAGACTAAACCACACAGTAGGCCACATGGAACCTAGCCGCCTTAACCTCCATGCCACCTGCTGGCCTTCTCACAGTTTTCTAAGCAGTTTGTTTCTCTAGCTGGCTTTACTGTAAGGATAGAGTATGTAGTATGTGTAGCATACAAAGTGTGTGTTAATCAAACGTATAATCAGTAAAGCTTACAGTCTCTATTAGACTACTAGTGATTAAGTTCTGGGTGAGTCAGAGTTTATAGGTAGACTTTCTAGGTGGGTAGGTGGTCAGCACCCCAATCCCTGTATTGTTCAAGCCTCAATAATACTGTATTGTCTCTCAGTATAAGCACGGATTTATAAGAGGCAAGTGCATATGCTGCTACTTACCATTTACCTGATTTGGTAAATTGACCAAGGAAATAGGATTGATAGTATTTTTGCTGATTAATGTGGTACTTGAGTATAACATTGAAATCTAGGCAAACATAATCATATTTCATTCATTTATTTAATCTTATGTAAGTTATGTCTTAAAGAGTACATGAGTTATTAAAACAGTTGAAAATGGTTGGATAAATTAACAGTGAATGTGTTAGAGTGTTAAGACTAGTTCGGATGTGTTTGCTGGTCAGGTAGTAGTTCCTATTGTAATTATATCTTTGCCTGAATTTTATTTTAGGTTAAAGCATTCAGATTAGTGAGCACTTTTTCATTGTTCTATAAAAAATGCATATTACTTTGGTTTCTCTAGTACACCTTGCAATATGGATATGAAAATTTGGCATAATCATTTTAAGTACAAGATCACTTTTTAGAATTGCCGTGATTAATGTAGCTGTAAAAATAAAATGTTTTTATCTACCACTGATGTATTTAGTCTAGAAAATGAAATAGTTCTGAAAAGAAAACAAACTTGTTGAACTATTTGCTTGTCTAGTTGATTAAGAAATATAATCATTGAGGGAATAGAGTAGTTTAAGCCTCAGTCAAAAATGATGGCTGATTATGAGTACAACACATTTAAATGTCTTTCTTTCTTTCTTTCTTTTTTAATGAAGTTTTTTTTTTTTTTGGTTTGTTTGTTTTGTTTTTGTTTTTGTTTTGCTACAGGCCATGTGCACTGGTTGGAGAGAGAGACAGACAGAAAGTGAGAGGTCACCCCTCAGGGGGGATGGCTACACCGCAATTCTTTTTTGGGGTTTTAGGCATACATGCACATGCACCCAGCCTAAGTTTTAAGCCACTGGGTCTGAGATTTGAACCGCAATCAACTACGTGGGAGTCCAACAACGTAACCATTACACCATCTAAAGGTCCCCACATTTAAAATTTTTCTATCATTTTATTCTTGCTTCAGAGTTTCATGATATTGCAAGAAAATTTTTTTGTTATTTTTTATTAGAGTTCATCAAAAGTATGAATGTACCTGTGTTGAAATAACAGCTTTATAATCAACTATCTTCTCTGAATTTTAGTTTCTTTAACTGAAAAATGACTATAATACTCCTTAGTTTGTAGTTTTTGATTTACAGATTGAACTAATTTAAATCTTGTCACAATTGTAGTTATTAGAATTGTATTGTTATTAGTTTGTTGTTTTATTCTTGATACTCTTAAGCATAGTGACTTTTTGATGAAGGGAATATGCAAAGAAAAATTTTAAATAATAGTAAAATATAAGTTGGACGGAATTAAATAGAATCTTAACTTCCTGGAGTTGTCATAAAATGATTTTTAATCTTTACTAGAAAGTTGACTAACCTATTTTTAGTATTAACAAATTTACCCTCCATGTCTTATTTTTATAAAATGATGGTCATGCTTAAATATTTGAGTCTAAATTATTGTGACTTTTCAAATGGCTAGGGGATAGATACATGACAAGTCCTATATTTTGTTTTTTGTTTGTTTTAATATTGTCAGAGGACGTGTGTGCTTGCCTGAGATAGAGAGAAAACATCCCCCCCTCCACAAACACCCCACAATCCTTTCTCCTTTAGTTTTTCACCCTATCAGGTATTCGGGCATGCACACACATGCACTGGGCATGTTTTTCACGCTGCTGGGCTAGGATTGAAACCATGGTGGGCCACGTGGGATCCAGCTACCTATGCACAGCGCTCACCTGTGTGCTGTGGTGATGGTCCCAGGTCCTATGTATTGGATGGGAGATGATGGACAGAACTTTGAGACTGCTGCTGTTTCTTTATTCTTTTATGTCCTTGAAAATGAAATTTATAATTTCTTTATCTGACCTTAATACTTGGGTGTATCCTCAGATTGTTTTCCCTCCATACAGTGTAGTTTATTGGTACATACTTCTTTTTTTGAGAGAGATTTTTGCTATAGGGTGCATGCGCTCACTGGAGGGACAGAGAGACAGAAAGCAAGAAATCATCCCCTGGGGGATGACCATGCCAAAGTCCCTTCTCCTTCATTCTCTTCTTGGGATTTTAGATATGCACACTTACTCGCCCACTGTGAGTTTCAAGCCACCAGTCCAGGACTCAAACTGTGGTCAGCCATGAGAGAGTCCAGTGCCTTAACCACTATGCCACCTGCTGGCCTTGGTACATACATTTTAAAAATAAATGTTTTTTCTATTTGTACTTACTTGGAAATTAAGTAAAGATGACTATAAATAGACTGATTCATTACCAAGAAAAAAATTGGGACTTGATGGCTGCCATCTTTGTTCCCAAATCTGTTCTCTGTACTTTCATTTTCTGAGAAGAACTAAAGGTCTTGAACCAATTCTTTCTTTAACAGTGCTGATAACTCCTTAAAGAGAGATGTGCCTTCAAGTGAGTTATTGTTTCTGGATAAATCAGTAGGAGAGAATTATGAATGTCGAAATAAGAATTTTCTAATCTGGTTTTCCTGAGGAATCAAATATTGTGGAGATGAGACATAGTAATATGTAAGAGAACAGTTTGACTTTGAAAATGATAGTATCTGGCGCCAGGAGCTCCAAATCTTTAAATAAGGCTTACTTCGGGTTTAATGTTACTTTAATGTCAACGTTTCAAAATAAGTGAGAAATGATTTATTAGGTAGAATAATATTTATAGTGATGATTAATGCTTTCTGAGGGACTAAATTTCCTCATTCTTTAACCATGCACCCTTATACACACTTCTTTTAAGGAATATGAAATTTGATGACCCAGTCCAGTATTCTTTTCTAATAAATTTGCTTAAAAATATAATTTCTAAAATTCCCCTGGTATTTTGCATTTTACATCTCATCTTTACTCTTTGTCACATGATTGTGTTTTTTTTGATGAAGTCATTAGAGGACAACAGTGAAAACATCAAAAATTCTATGATGGACGAGCCAAACATCAATAAGGTACAAAATATCATTCAACTGAAACAAGAATTGCATTCTTTAACAAGAAAAACAAAGTATTTGCATTTTAATTTGGACCTGACTTTGTTTCCAAATGGAATGAAAGTATTTTCTCAAAGTATTTTTCTTTTAACAATTTAAATATTGCAGTCTTAAAAATGATTTTTGTTTTGATTAGTAAGAGAATGCAATTTTAAAGAGAGTTGAATGTATCTAGTTTTGGCTTCAGATTTTTTGAGTAAATACACTTAATGTTCTTAAACTATAATTACAGTAGCAAGTATAAAAGAGTAATAATATTGTTTCATTTCTGCACGTATTATTTTTGAATTTAAATTTCTCTCCTGTGGTACTAATTCCTAAAATTACAGCAGACACTTCTATGTAGCACTTATTTTATTGGTAGCAATAGCATATAGGACAATGCCTTGTGAGTAAAAAGTACTCAGAATTTGAGAGCCAAAGCACAAATGATAAGAATTTATAACAATCATCGAATAATTCCTAGGTATTCTGTGATCACACAAACATATATGACTTCATTAGGTTGATATTAAATTCATGTTTTTTTCTATTTTGTATCATTCACAGATTTTAAGGCAATCTCAGCAGAGTGATTTTTAGGGAGAAAATTTCTTGTAACATTTTTTTTCTTAAAGGCCACTAGGTTCCACCTCTTACTCTTTCTGAAAAGAATCATTTGGTAAAATTGGAAAATAATTCTATACAGTTGATTATAGGTTATAAAGACTGGTTAGCTCTTAAGTATAACTAAAACTTTGGCAAAATAAATATATATGTGATCTATAGTTAGCTTTAAGACTTTCTTTAATGATCTTTGGGAGTTTTGAAAGAATATCATTCAGACTTTAAAAAGTTTTTAAAATGTTTCAGTTAGTTTGCTATAGGGCTTCCAGAGAGAAACAGAGAGAGAACGGGGTGGGGGCGGGTGAGAAACCACCCCAAGGTAGGATGGTCACGCCTCAGTTCCGTTTCCTTCATTCTCCTCTCAGGATTTTGGGCACGCATGCACACGTTGCCTGGTGTAATTTTCAGGTTGCCACATCTGGGACTCAACCCTACAGACGGCCATGTGAGATCCAGCCTCCTTAACCCCCATGCTACCGGCTGGTCCCAGACTGTTAATTAGTTAGTGATTTTCCTTGCTTTGATGATGATTACTTACTACCATCTATACATTATCAGGAATTCTCATCTAAATATATTTCTTTTGATAATGCTTATAAAATGTTAATTACCGTAATACTGAATTTCTGTTGTCAACCCCATGCTATAGCAATATGTAGTGATTCTGTTTAGTTGACATTATTACCATTTTGGCCAGCATTTTCCAAGACTTCTGCTACACTAATTTTTTTTTTTTTCCTTTTAGTGAGAGGGAGAGAGAGACATAGGTGTTCTCTGACAAGGTCTCACCACACTGTGATTCCGTTGGCCCATCCTTCCATTTAGCTAGGACCACAGGAGTGCACCACTGCATTTGGCCTGTTCAGGTCGGGCCGGGCACCAAGCCCGTGAGGCCTCCCATGCCACCTCAGCCATTGCAAAGTGGCGCCCTTTTTTCACTTGTGCCACTGCAACTGCCCCCCCCCAGCTACACTGAAAAAGATATTTATTAAGTATCCTTGACCTAAAATAGCCACATGCATTTAAAGTGTACAGCTTGATAAATTATGGCAGGTGTAGACATTCAAGGAGCTCTCACCACAGTCAAGATAATGAATATATTCATCAACCACCAAAAGTCAATCAGTCCCGTCTGTCTTCCCTCCTGTCTCTGCCCTCTTCCTCCCAAGCAACTGGCTTACTGGTCTTCTGACATTATGTATTGATTTACAGTTTTTGATATTTCATGTATATCTATGCATAATCGTATGGTATATTATTTTTGGTTTTGACCTGTGTCCTTTCACTTAGCATAATTATTCTGAAATTCCTCTGTATTACTGTGCATTTCAGTAGTTCATTTCTTTTGCCGGTAAGTATTACATTGTATGTTTGTCTATTTGCCTGTTAATGAACCTTGAGCTCATTCCATTTTGGAGCCATTACACATAGGCCGGTCTGAATATATACACACAAGTCTGTGCTTTAATTTCTCTGTGTAAATACCTAGGAGTAGAGTGACTGGATCACATGGTAGATGTATGTTTAGCTTTTTAAGAAACTTTTTAAGTATTTCCAAGGGGGTGGTACCATTTTACACTCAGCCACCGTTGCTTCACATTCTCACCAACACTTAGTATAGTTCGAGTTTAGTCATTCTAGTAGTTATGTAAGGGCATTTCGTTGTGGCTTTCAAGTTCATCAAGCATTTTATGTGCTAATTTGCACTTTGTGTGTCTCTTTGGTTGAAATGTCTTTTCAAAGCTTGTGTCCGTTTTTTATTGGGTTGCTTGTTTTCTTGATAGAGTTGTAAGAGTTCTTGTGTAGTCTATACAAAGTTATTTATCAGATAGGTGAGTTGCAAATATCTTTCATTACTCTGTGGCCTCTTTATTCTCTTTACAGTGTCCTTTAAGTCCAGAAGTTCTTCATTGTGACAAGGTCTTATTAGAGTGTCAGTTTGTTCTGCGTGTGCATTTTTAGCATTTAAAAAGTCTTTACGTAATCTGAGATTAGAGATTTTCTCCAGTTTTGTTCTGGATGTTTAGTTTTAGTGTTAAATTTAGGTCTGTAATCCATTTTTTTAAACTTTATTTAAATTTTTTTTTTTTTTTCTGTAAAAGAGAGAGCCAGATAGGTTCCCTAACAGGATTTTCAGGCCACTGTCCACGCCCACTCTCAGGCATCCAGGATATGGAGTATGTGCATGCATGCCTGGTGTGCTCAGAGAGGTTCTAAAACACAAACCCAGGACTTTTCCGGTTGCACCAATGCCTGGCTCCCTGTAATCCGTTTTGAGTTTTGTTTTTATATTGTGTAGTGTGTGGATCTCAGTGCCTATGTATGTGTATATGTGTGTCTGTGTATGTACGCATGTGCATTCATGTGTTTTGCATCCGTGTGTCAGTTGTTCCAGCACTGTTTGTTGAAAAGATTCTTCTTTCTTCCATTAAATTGCCTTTTCCTCTTTTCCAAAAATTAGTTGACATAGATACAAATATCTATTTCTCGACTCACCGTTTTGGTTCACTGAGCCATTTGTCTCCCTTTATGCCAGTAGCCCACCATCTTGATTTGAAGCCTGTGGCTTTATAGTAGAACTTAAAGTCAGGTAATGTAAGTCCTTCACATCTTTCCTTATCTTCTGCCTGCCTGCCTGCCTTTCTTTTTCCTCCCTGACTAGAACTTCGAGTCCAGTATTGAACAGAGGTGATCCAGAAGACATTGTTACCTTGTTTCTGATCTTGGAAGAAACCATTTTGTGTTTCACCATTAAATATGATGTTATATATAGGTTCTTCATGGCTCCCTTTATGAGCTTGGAGTAGTGTTTTTCCTGCTCCTAGTCTGTTGAGACTCTAATCAGGACTGGACAGTGAATATCATAAGATACCTTCTTTTTGCTGCTATTTAGATGATCATGTGTTCTTTCTTATTTTAGTCTATAAATATGGCCAAATAGTTTGATGGATCTGTTTGAATATTAATCCAACTTTGCATTCTTGGTCATACCGTGATTCTTTTTATATATTGTTAGATTTGATTTATCATTTTAAGAAGTTTTCAATCTGTTCCTGATAGTTTTGTAGGTTTTTTATAGTGTTTTTGTTTTGTATGCAACTAATGCTGGCTTCTCTTAGAATGAGTTGACAAGAATTCACTCTTCTTTAATTTTAGAAAAGAATTGATATAGTTTGTGTTCTTTCTTAAGCGTTTGTTAGATCCTGGTGTTTTTTCACTACAGATTTAATTTCTTAACCAGATATAGGGTAATTCAGATTAACTCTTTCTTCCTGAGTGAATCTTGATAGTTTGTGTTTTCAATAAATTTATATGTTTTATTTCTACTGTCAAACTTAGTGTCGTAAAGTTCTTTATACTACTCCTTTGCCTTTTAATATGTACAGAATCTGTAGTGATACTGCCTGTCCTTCCAGCAACAATTTTGAAAACTAATTATCTCATTATTTATATTCTCTAATATTTTGGGCATTGTTGTTATTAACTTGATTGTTTTCCATTTCCATTTAGGTATGCCTTTGATATTCTTTAGATCTCATTTTATTTCGTGTTTGTTTTATTTTGTTTTTAGAGTGGTATTAAAGTATTCCATGTGCACACCTAAAGCTATGTAAAGATGCCAGTAATTCAAAATCACTAATGAGAACAAAAGTTTTAGTTAAACTTTTCCATAGATTTGCTGTGTAATGTGGTAGTCATTCTGTTCTTGGAGCCTAAGAACATTATCTAAAATGTAAAATTAGGATTTATAATTTTTTTTTTTCTTCAGGTTTTTGCCATTGGTTGCATGTGCATATTGGGGGTGGGGAGTGAGAAATCATCCCCTGGGAGATCACTACAGTGCAGTTCCTTCTCTTCCAGTCTCCTCTTGGGATTTCAGACGCACATGCACTCATGCATGCATACACCGGCGCCAGGTCCAGGACTTGAACCACAGTCAGCCATATGGTAGTCCAATGCCTTAATCACCACACCAGTTTTTGGCCCCAAAGGGTGATAATTTTATACTTGCTGCTTATTTGATTGAAAGAGTAGTAGACTCCTGGAGTGAGTAGATAAGAATTATCCCCTTCTCCCGCTTCTAAGGGGAACTCTCTGGACTCCAAACAGTATTCAGATCCATTTTTTCATAATCTCTTCTTCTTAATGATTCTGATAAAATTTATTATAAGTCTCTTTCATTGTTTGTTTCATGAGAGGCAAAGAGAAACTTCATTCGTGCACTGATTTGACTCTCACCTACCCAAGGACTTTGCTGCAGTTCTTGTCCTCTCTCTTCCTTCCTAATTTTTTTACCTTTCACTTAGACTATTTTCATTAGCACAAGCAAATATATTTTAATGCCTTACCTTGAGAAAAAAAAAAAAAAAGAAAGAAGACAGAAAGCTCCCATTTCTTCTCTGTGCAGTGAAATTTATTTATAGAGTGGCCTTTTAAGGTCATTTAAGATTTAAAGACTAATGTTGCAGACACACTAATGAGAACAAAAGTTTTAGTTAAACTTTTCCATAGATTTGCTGTGTAATGTGGTAGTCATTCTGTTCTTGGAGCCTAAGAACATTATCTAAAATGTAAAATTAGGATTTATAATTTTTTTTTTTCTTCAGGTTTTTGCCATTGGTTGCATGTGCATATTGGGGGTGGGGAGTGAGAAATCATCCCCTGGGAGATCACTACAGTGCAGTTCCTTCTCTTCCAGTCTCCTCTTGGGATTTCAGACGCACATGCACTCATGCATGCATACACCGGCGCCAGGTCCAGGACTTGAACCACAGTCAGCCATATGGTAGTCCAATGCCTTAATCACCACACCAGTTTTTGGCCCCAAAGGGTGATAATTTTATACTTGCTGCTTATTTGATTGAAAGAGTAGTAGACTCCTGGAGTGAGTAGATAAGAATTATCCCCTTCTCCCGCTTCTAAGGGGAACTCTCTGGACTCCAAACAGTATTCAGATCCATTTTTTCATAATCTCTTCTTCTTAATGATTCTGATAAAATTTATTATAAGTCTCTTTCATTGTTTGTTTCATGAGAGGCAAAGAGAAACTTCATTCGTGCACTGATTTGACTCTCACCTACCCAAGGACTTTGCTGCAGTTCTTGTCCTCTCTCTTCCTTCCTAATTTTTTTACCTTTCACTTAGACTATTTTCATTAGCACAAGCAAATATATTTTAATGCCTTACCTTGAGAAAAAAAAAAAAAAAGAAAGAAGACAGAAAGCTCCCATTTCTTCTCTGTGCAGTGAAATTTATTTATAGAGTGGCCTTTTAAGGTCATTTAAGATTTAAAGACTAATGTTGCAGACACTAGTGAACAAACAAACCACACAGTTTAAAAAATAAAGCATTATTAATTCAGTTTAATCAATAATGCGATCTTTCCCCAACAGTTTTTAGAACCCCACTTGTCACTTGTCACATTTTCGTTGTTGGGTATTATGTCCAGCCCACTCCATAGAGATTGTTCAGTCAAGGTCACATTGATTTCCAATGCTTAATCCATGGTCAACTCTCTGTCCTCTCCTGATTCAGTTTTCAGTATCATGGATCCCTAACATTTTGTTAAAATTGTGACTTCACTTAATTTTCCTAAGTCAAACCCCTCTGTTTCTTATGTTAGCTAATTGACTAGCAACTACTGAATTGCCCTCTTTTTCCTGTCCTTGAAATATTGGGTGCCCCAGAGCTTGATTTTGTCTCTTTTCTATCTTTTCTTTGTCTTTAGGTTATATTAGGCTTAAACATCTGTTTGGTAGTTAGCATCCCAAGAGTCTAAGGCATATTACCTTTGAAAATTACAATACATAGTAAGATACTAGATTGGAGAAGTAGGAAGGATTCTGATCCTACAGGGCCTTAAAAGCCACAATAAAAAATGCGGATGTTCTTCACAAACTGGGAAGCCGTTGGAGGATTTAGAAAGTTCTGCTGCTGTGATGTAGGATGTAAAGGGTATGAGAGTGGCTACCAGGAGACCAGTTAAGAGGCAACTACCGCGCTGGGGTGAGAGGTGATGGTGAATGGGTTAGGGCGGTAGCGGTGGTGGTGATAAGTGGATGGAACTGGGATAAATTTTGCTAATGGAATATACCTGTGGTGTAAGTAGAAGAGGGAAAGAAGGACAGTTCCTAGTTTTCAGGCCTGAGGAGTGGGTGAGTAACACTACTGTTTACTGAGATGGACAGAACAGAAGAATGAGTTTAGGTTGGAAGTAGGGATTTTGGGATTTCAGAAAATTAATTGCAATTAGATCAGAGAATTTGAGAGATTTCAGATTCTGATTATGTATCTGACAGTTTAGGATCTTTATATTTAAAAAAAATCACTATAGTTTATTCTCATGCAGAACATCTTGATACCACATTCAACATTGTGAAACAGTGCGTTAAAGAGTCTAGGTAGGAAGGTAGGATGTATTCCCGCCCGAGGAAGCTTTTCTGAGGCTCATGTCTGCAGGGGCTTTCCTCCCTCAGGTATAAGTTTGAAAGAGCTCCCCAGGTGAAATGGATGTCTTCCCCATTCAGCCCTTACCAGCAAATAGCAAAGTCCTCTACTCCACAAGAACTGCCAGGTGTTTGCCTTCAATTTCTTCAAAACCTAGTAATGAACACTTAGTTCCTTTAGATACCAGGCAGATATCTGATGGATACGTTGGAATTTTGTCATAAAATTCTGAAATTTGACTTGAGCACTGGTACTGTATGATGGGATTCTTGTAGGCAGGACCAAGACTTTCATTAGAAGACAAGTTGGCCAAGTCAGCCAGGATGTTTAGCAAACATTGAAATTCCTTTTTAAGCCTTTTCCCTGAATTGCCAGAAGATTTGTGCTCTCACTAGAAAGGGACAGAGAGAAAGCATCCCCAGTGGGGCATGGTCATGCCTTAATCTCTTCTCTGTGTCTTTACCCTGTCAATCTGGGGCAAGCGCACACATGCCCTGAGTGTTTTCCAAGCTGCTAGGCCAGGGTACAGACCTGCTCATTCGGCCATCCGCGGTCTTGCTTCCTTGCCCACCAGGCCAGGCGATAGCCCACACAGATTCTCCGGTGTTCACACGAAAGTTGTATTTGCTGTCAGAATATATTTGACATCTTTACATCTGGTAACTATGATTTTTGTTTGTGTGGGAGTGTTATACTTCGGTTATCTTAAAAGTGTCTGTCAACCCCATAATTGAACAGTCATCGTAGTTGCCATTTTTTAAAATACTTTCAACTCCGGTCAATTTGTGGTCAATGGGCAGGCACTGGTGATATTTTTATGTAAATTTTGAAGGAAGTAAATTTGTTGTATGCTAATTTCAAATTAATAACTTCTACATTTCGCAATGAGCTGTGAAATATTTTGTAATAATTTATTTTAAAAGACTGAAAGGGAAGATAAAATGAAATAATAAGCAACATTTCTAACTCTTAATAATTGCCTTCTCTCCATACTGCCACTTATTTTAGTAAATCCTGATATTTATACATTACTCTCTTCTGAGTTCAAAGATAGTATATTCATTTTGTCTGAGGTAAGCAGAAGTTCACATATATGTCCTTCATCTAAGATATATTGAATTATGGCTTATTCGCTGCTCAAATGATTACTGACTTGAAAAGAGGTTTCAAGTTTCCTTTCTATACATTGAAAGTAATGGTAGACCAGAAGGCAGTGAACTATAGCAGCTGGACAGTCCCACTGATTTCTCTCTCTCTCTCTCTCTCTTTTTTAGACAGATTTTTATTATAGGGCATGTGCTCTCACCAGAGAGACAGAAAGTAAGAAACCCCCTCCGGGGGAATGGCCAAGCCACAATCCCTTACCCTCCATTCTCCTCTTGGAATTTTGGGCATTTATGCACATGCGCCCAGGGTGAGTTTTAAACCACCAGGTCTAGGACTTGAACCACAGTTAGTCAACAGTGGGAGTCCAGCAACATCACCAATATAGCATCTGCTGGTCCCATCCTCACCCACTTTTATATAGCCTATGAGCTAAGAATGATCTTTCCATTTTTGAAGTGTTTAAAAAAAAATGAGTATGCAACTGTGATTCTTTGTGGTCCGCAAAACCTAGAATATTTACCCTCTGACCTTTTAATGTTTATAAAATATAAAAAGAATTATAATGCTAAGAAACTTGGTAAATAAATATTACTTGAGTAATTGGACATCTTAATCCTTTAAAGTTCACTTAGTATAGATTGGAAAGATAGCTGATTAGTGAGGTTGCATGTTGTATCTGCTACCTGTTATATGTGAAAAAGCAGGTTTGGAAAAATTTAAATTCCCTTGTCAAGTAAATTTTGCTTTAGAGATAATTAGCATATAAAATAGTACCTTTTGAACTGAAATATCTAAAAAAAATTTTTAAATAGTGTATTCAAGTTCTAAGTGATAGATTGGCATATATTGTAAGTTCTGTTACTAAAATCAATATACTTCAATGTTTTGTTTGCCTCTTTTTAGATAGAAGCAGACTTGGGGTACCCTGGAGGTAAAGCCAGAATCATTCATAAGGAGTCTGACATCATCACTGCCTTTGCTGTGAATAAAGTAAGTACACAGACATTTCCTTTTTATATTAAATATTCATAGTTGGAGAATGTCATCTTTTCTCAGTTCATTCCCACTTTTTCTTTCCTTTTAAGCTTTTGCCATAGAGTGCATGTGCTTGTTGGAGAGGGGGGGGGAGAGTAAGAAATCATCCCCTGGGAATGGCCATGCAACAGTCCCATCTCTTCCAGTCTCCTCTTGGGATTTTGGGCACACACACAAACACGCCCAGCATGATTTTCCAGCTGCTGGATCCAGGACTTGAACCACAGTCACACATATGACAGTCTAGCACCTTAATCATCATGCCACCTGCTGGCCTTACTTTCCACTTTTTAAATTACAATCTGAATATACATTTTTTTAAAAATTTTATGGAATGATAATATTGTTTGATATTGTGACTTTATTATATGATTTGGGGTATATAAATGATGAAATGTCTTATTGCTATAAAGAGAGAAGTAGGAAGTATGTATACATGCAGTAGCTATAGAATTTATGCATTATTGTAGTTAACTCACAGATAAGATTTTCTGTATTCCTTATAGGAGTATGTAGAATGGAGTTCGTAACATTAGATAAAAACGACTGTCAGCCTCCCTGTTTGACACCTCTGCTAGCTGCCCAGCTAATGTGTGTGCCTTGTATTCTCTGTCCTGCTTAACATCCTTCTCAGGGATGTCTGTGATCTCCTGAAACAATAGTACAAACTTGAAATCTGTCACAGTTATTTTCCACTTACATCTCCAGTGACTGTCTTACTGCGTAGTATCTAGTTGCTTCTAGTTAATTTACGTTTTCTTTTCTTTCTGCTAACTTGAAGAACATATATATCTCTTTTCATGTGTTCCTAAAGCATACATACATGCACATACTCACATATACACACACAATTTATTTGTGCACTCCTAATTTCTAAATTGTTTATGTATTTAAGACGGGGTCTTGCTCTATCATAATCATCCTGCCTCATCCTCCTGAGTAACTGGGACTCACAAGGGCTTGTGCTACCGTGCCCAACTTTATGGGGTGGATCAGGAATTGAACCTGAGCCTCCCGTGTGGCCTCAGCCTGCCAGGTAGCTGCAGTGTCATCCAGCATGTGCTCCTGTGGCTGAGCCTACGATATTTTTACATGATGTTCAGTTGCACATCCTGTGGAATTACCCATTTAACAATCCTTCGTCAGTTGGTTCTCCATCTTCCTGTCTATGCCTGTCTTCCCTTTGATTCCTCCTGGAGAGCTCCACTGTCAGCCTATCTCCTGCATCCTTCTCATTTCCCATAGACTGCTTCTGTCGGAGGCAGGCAAATCTGGAATCAGACTGTTAGCCAGGCAGTTCTCATGTAGTATTTATGAAGTGTGATGTATACATATAAAATTAAAAAGGATTAGCTATATCCTAAAGTACCACGCTTTCCCGGAAGAAAACAGAACTTTAAGTAGTCTCTGCTGCAGAGCCGTGGATTTTCTGAGGGTATGTGTAATAACCAGTGATGAGTGGCCGCCCACACATGAAATCTGCTACCCTTGTGCACACAGGCCTGCCTCGTTTTCAGTTGTGCCTTTTGGGTTTTAATTTGTAGCATTCTAGCAGGCTAGAAAGAAAGAACAGGGGCAGGAAAGAGAGTAGTACATTTAATTCCATTATGTAGTTGACTTCCTGTTAGAGGTACTTAGGTTCCTAGAACATAAATATTATCTCCACGCTCCAGGTTATGATTATTTCACTGGAAATGTAATTGGCAGAATTAACTAAAAACATTCACTTGTAGGAATGCAATATATTCTGCACTTCAATGATCATTCTAAAGGCTATTGTGTAACTGCCATTTTCAAAAGTAGCCCACATAGCTGTTGTGATTTTTTATTTAGAGACTATTATATGGTTTATTTTTCAGGCAAATAGAAACTGCATAGCAATCGCGTCCAGCCATGATGTTCAAGAACTGGATGTTTCTGGAATTTTGGCTACACAGATCTATACTTGGGTAGATGATGATATAGAGATGGAAGCCAAAGGGTACCTTATACTTTCTTTTCAGTAGCATTGTAATATAAATTACTATATCCATTGAAGTATAATTTTCAAAAGATTCCTTAATGGAGTGCTTATAAATTGTAAGAAAAGTGGAAGCCTATAGCCTAAAGCTTAAACTAGAGGTGGAAGGCGCTTTTGGAAAAGGGAATTGAAAGTTAGAATAAGCAGGCCAGCTTCAGCAGCGCACAGTGGCACGCCACTCCACAGAAGATGGAGGCTCAGGTTCCAGGTCAACCTTTACCCACCAAGCGTGCGCACGCCTGCCCACGATCCTCTCTGGCTGCAGGACGGGGCGGACTGCAGAGTGAGACCCTGTTAAGGGTGCCTTCTCTCGGCCTGTCTCTCATGAAATTAATGAACTTTATTTTGAAAAAGAAGATTGTACGTGAAGGGAATGGAAATTATTGGTGTGATTTCATATCTGGGTTAAGAATAAGAGTTAATTTTAAAGAGAAAATCAAGTCAAATGTTAAGAGTGTAAAGAACAAAGAACTGATAGGTTGACATTCCTTTGTAGATCAGAAGATTTCTTGGTTATACATGCTCGCGATGATTTAACAGCTGTTCAGGGAACAACCCCGTATACACACAGCACTCCTGGCACTCCCATCAACATGCCATGGCTTGGTAGTACCCAGACGGGCAGAGGAGCATCCGTGGTATGTAAAGTTAAAAATATTCTCATCTGCATCACTGTCCTATTTTTCTCTTTAGGTTAATGGATAAAGAATAATTTAAAATATATTTTAAGGCCTAAAATTTAGTAAGTTTTACAGACTGGAAATTGTAAATTTTGATAATGAAGAGTAATACCAAAAGAGTAAAAAAAAAGTATCTTAAAAATATACTTTGCAGGACCAGCAGATGGCGTAATGATTATGTCGCTGGGCTCCCACATAGTCAACCACAGTTCTAGTATTGGACCTGGCAGCTTAAAACTCACTCTGGGTGCTTGTGCATCTGTGCCCAAAGTCCCAAGAGGAGAATGGAGGAGAAGGGATTGCTGTGTGAGCATCCCCCCACCCCCAGGGGGATATCACACTTTCTGTCTCTCTCTTTCTCCTGTGAATGTGTGCACCCTATAGCAAAAATCTCTCAAAAGAAACACACACACACACACACACACACTTACTTCGCTGGGAGCCAGCAGGTGGTATGATGGTTAAGGTGCTGGACTCCCCCCCCCCAAAAAAAAAAAAGAAAAGATAGATAGATAGATAGATATGGGGGCTGGCAGATGGTGTGGTGAAGGGCCCTAGATTCCCACATGGTCAACCACAGTCCCAGACCTGGTGGCTTGCTTTCTCACTTTCCATCTCTCTTTCTTTCTCTGTCTCCCTCTCTGGTCAAATTAAAAAATAAAATAAGGTTAACTAAAATAAATCTTTAAAACAAAAAATATGTCTATGTACATTTGTGAGCCAGCCCTGTGGTGTGGTGGTTAAGGGAGCTAGATCCTATCTTGGCTGACCCCATGGTTCAAGTTTTAGCCCTGGCGGCTTACACACTGGGCACACGTGTGTGCATGCTGAGAATGCCAGTCGGAGGGAGAAATGGAGAAGAGACTGCAGAGTGATGATTGCCCGATGGGGGGCTCTTCCTTTCTCTGTCTCTGGTGAGCACACCTGCCCTCTGGCAATTAAATTTTTTTATGAAGAGCTATACTTTAATGAGTGATTATTTGAAACCTAATGGTCCTCATCAGATCTCAGTAAGCTGTAGCCATCGATAGTCAAGTCTTCCCACCTGTTGCCTATTTGTGTATAGCCAACGCATTAAGAATGATGTTTACATTTTTTACGGGTTGGAAAAAAGCATACTATTTTGTGACACATGAAAATTATGTGCAGTTTAATTTCAGTGTTTATGTATAAAGTTGTAGAAACACAACCAAAGTAATTTGTTCATCTTTGGATGCCTTCATGCTGCAGAGGCATAGTTCAGTATCTGCAATGGAAACTGCAGCCCATTAACCCTAAAACATTAACTGTTAAAAAAAAAGGGCTTTGCAAGGACAGTCCTGTAGGTGTAAGAGAGCCAGATCCCATATGACCAACTATGGTTCAAAGCCCAGTCCTGACAGCTTGTAAAACATGTGCATGTGTGCCCCACATCCTGACTGGACCACAGGAGAAGGAACTGTGGTGTGAGCGTGCCCGTCAGGAGGTTCTTTCCTTCTCTCTCATCTCTCTGTGAGTGCACACACCCTCTCTGGCAATTAAAAGAATTAAAAAATAAATGAAAGAGTATTTGCTAATCTCTGGTCTAAAGAGAGTCTTTTAATGAATGTCAAATAATAACTGGGTCCATGTTTAGTGTTACTTTTTTTTTAATGCTGAGGCAAATAGATATATAATTAATAAAATGCAATATACATATGAACCGAGACAAAATTTTTTGCGGTGATGGAAAATCTATTTGAGCCCTAGTTACCTAAGATGTAGCCCATATTTTTACCTCCGAGAGTCTCCTCTATTGATACTTAAGGTATAGGAATTGATACACTGAGTCAAACCCAGCACTGTTAATTCTCTCAGTGACTTTTTATGTGGCTGGGTTTTTAAAAATTTCATGTCCTGTAGAATAATTTTATGGTCCCCATTTTTTTTTTATTAATTAGAATGGGCAGTTGTTTAAAGGTAAAGGGTCTATCACCCTTAATATCTCATTGTATTTTGTCAATGCAGTTCCTCTGTAACTGATAAAACCTTAAAATTCTTCCCAATATTTGTTGTGGCTCTTCTTTATTTTTACTTAACTATTCTTCCAATGAAACGTGAGATCCAGAAAAGCTAAGTGACTCAGCTCAGGTCATTATATTAAGTCTGTGGTAGGACTGAATTTCCTTTCTACTATTGGAAAATCTTTTTTTTTTTTTTTCAATATTTCTAAGTACATTTTTGGTGTCATTTTAGTAGGCGTCATTGTGATTAGTGAACCTAATTATTTAGATTGCCTCATTCTACTCAAAAGAAAAACATTAACAAAATAATGACCTTTTTAAAATGTGGCTCTTCTTAAAATAGTTTTCTTATAATGTTCTCCGTACGCCTTCAGAAATTTTTTATAAACTCATGTTTGTATTTTATTATTCATGATTTCCCTGTGATACCTTGGTCAGGAAATAAAGGCAAGAACAGAACCTGTGGACATTTCTTTAATTAAGAAGAAATGGATTTAAATGTAAAATTCACTAAGCAAAAGTATTATTTAGCAGGTTTATACTTTTTCAGGAGAATTGCTAAAGTGTATTGTTATGATAGTTTGTACACGTGCAGCAGAGAGGACTAGCATCACTCTCTAAAGGGCTTCATCATTTCATGGTCGCCTTTCCCCGTCCTCTCGTTCCTCGGGACACGCAGTGTCCATACACGCCTGCTCTGTTGTCAGGCCTGTCTGGAGATCATACCCACAGTAGGTCACGGGGCCTCCCTCCTGGGAGGGTACTTGGTGTTAGCCCTGCTCCACAGTGGCTGCCTTGGTTTTTCTCATTTTCTCATCTCACTGAATGATGTCTACCAATAACAGGAAGAGTACTTACCATGACTCTTGACTGTTTTTTTTTTTTTTTTTTGAGAGATTTTCGCTATAGGGCGCGTGTGCTCGCCAGACAGACAGAGACAGACAGAGAGACAGAAAGCGAGAAATCACGCCCCAGGGGGGATGGTCACGCTGCAATCCCTTCTCCTCCATTCTCCTCTTGGGATCTTGGGCATGCACGCACACGCGCCTGGCGTGAGTTTTAAGCCACCGGGTCTGGGACGTGAACCGTGGTCAACTACGTGGGAGTCCAGCGACATAGCCATTACACTAATTGCTGGTTCCCACTCTTGACTGTTTTGAAGAGTATGTATCCCTTAGTTTTTCTGTCCCTCACTGGTTCTTAGTCCCTTTATTCCCTACAAACCGCCCTCCTTCTCCACAACTTTGAGCTAATTGAACAATTTAAAATCCTAAAGGAGGGACCAGCAGTTAGTGTAATGGCTATGTCGCTGGACTCCCACGTAGCTGACCGCAGTTCGAGTCCTGGACCCCGTGGCTTAAACTCATACCAGGCGCGTGTGCGTGCGTGCCCATGATCCCGAGAGGAGAATGGAGGAGAAGGGATTACGGCGTGGCCATCCCCCCTGTGGGGTGATTTCTCACTTTCTGTCTCTCTGTCTCTCTGTCTCTGGCGAGCGCACGCGCCCTATAGCAAAAACATCTCCAAAAAAAATATCCCAAAGGACGACAATAGTGCCAAAATCTGTCTGAAACTAATGCTAAAGCCTTAGGTTAACATAATTTCACTATGGTGCTATATAAGTAAGAAATATTCTGTGAATAAGAATTTTATTTTTACATTCATGTATTTATTTTATTCTTGACAAGCTAGATAAATCATTCAAAGCTGCTAAGCGAAGTAAGCCAGACTTGGAAAGACACACACTATATATCCCTGCTCAACATATACAGAATGTCTTCTCTGTCTGGCAGAAATGGAAAGATCAGAAGATAGGATGGTAGAGAGTATAAATGTAAATACCAGAGGTTATACAGGGAGGGGCAAAGGGAAGAAATGTTTAACAAACAAAAAGAAGTAAAGTTTTCTGTGGAAAATGCTGTACGTGGCAATATCTTTGATTTTGTTGTCTTGTACTACCTGCATGCTTTGAAAATCCCTACTGTGTGTTGTAGAGATACGCAGAGATAGAGAGTTAAAAACAAATCATTGTGTGAAAATATTAACAACTGAAAAGCAATAAAAATGTGTATATACCTGTTTTGGTCATACACAGTCAGTTGTGGAAAAAATAGTAAATAGATTTTAGCTTTAAAATTTCAACTTTCTGTGGACCAGCAGATGACATAATGGTTATGTTGCTGGACTCCCACGTAGTTGACTATGGTTTGAGTCCCAGACCCTGGGCAACTTAAAACTCACGTTAGGATCGCATGTGTGTGTGCCCCAAATCCCAAGAGGGAAATGGAAGAGGGAGGAGGGGATTGTAGCATGGACATCCCCCCCCGGGAGGTGATTTCTCACTGTCTCTGTCTTTCTGGCAAGTGCATGTGACCTATAGCAAAGATCTCTCTCAAAAAAAAAAAAAATTAATTTAACTTTCTGTTAACCACATTTATTTTCATGTGCTTCTGTCTTTATAATGTTATACTATTCAGGATTATTCCAATTAATTTAATGGAATCAGAAAAGAACTGGCAAAAAAGGAGATTAAAAACAATTCTTGAGGGGAGTTTGGTCATAGATCCTAGTCAGTAATGTATAAAATGTATACACCCTTAAATATGAGAGCTGCACTAGTAAATTTCTGTTAGCATATTTATAAGTTTTGGCACCCTTAATGGCACTTATGAAATCACATAAAAATAAATAAATAAACAAATAAATGTTATTTGAATTTACTATCACAATTTAAATTTTTCATTCTACTTCTTATTATAACTGTAAAATATTTCTTCCTTTTTACCAGATGATTAAGAAAGCTATTAACAATGTCAGAAGAATGACTTCTCATCCAACCCTTCCTTATTGTAAGTTGATGTAATAATTAACAATTATTATTCTTTATTTTTATATGTTTTTGGTAATTTTTGTTAGAAGAAATTTATGGGAAGCTTTCTGTTTCAACTGAAAAACAGCATTTATTCTGTTTTCTTAGAGTGTGTTTACTAATAAATAAAACTTTCACTTAAAAATTGGATAAGAGTAGAAACAGAGATTTCCCTGAATTGATAGAGAAAACTGACCTAACGCGTAGTACATTTTGGCCTTGACTGTTGGTATTTCTAAGCACATTTCTGAATTCCCTTGATGATGCTAAGTTATAGTTAATGACTATTTTAATAATAGAATTATTCTATATTTTGTTTCATAGACTGGAACCATATGTTGCTCTTTTGTTGCCTCATTATCATCAGTTTGTATTTTATTAATTTTGTCAGAACTTTCTTTTTAATTGCCAGAGGTGCTTGCATTTGTCATAGAGAGGCAGAGAAGGCACCACCAGCAGGCTGTGGTTTTGCTGCAGTCCCTTCTCCTTTCCCTGTCCTGTCGAGATGTGGGGCCTGAACACACACTGGTGTGTTTTTATTTTTCTACTTTTTGTTTGTTTGTTTGTTTGTTTAAATTTTTTTAATTTAATTTGTTTTAATTGTATTTTATTTATTTATTTATTTATTTATTTATTTTTAAGTTTTGCCATAGGTTGTTGCTAGAGAGAGACGGAGACAGACAGAGCGAGGGAAAGTGAGAAATCGTCCCCCAAGGGAAATGGCCACGCTACTACCCCTTGTCCTCCATTCTCCTGTGGGGATTCTGGGTGCACATACTCATGCCCAGCATGATTTTCAAGCTGTCAGGTCCAGGACTCAAACGTAGCTGACTATGTGGGAGTCTAGTGCTTTAACCACCGTGCCACGTGCTTGTCTACCTGCTGTGTTTTTCAAGTCCCCAGGGCTGGAATTCAAACCACAGCCTGTATAGTGTCAGGTTCCCTTAACCGCTAGACTAAAGGGCTAGCCGTCAGTTTGTCTTTTATCAGCACATTAATAGTAAATATAAGAAATGGTTATTAATAAGTTCTTACATCCTAAAGCAGGATATATTTGTTTCCAGTTAATCTTCTAGGAACCCCCAAACTGTCTCTTCCTTATTTTAAAAAAGAAAATTAATAGGGAATGTATTGGAGATACTGATTAACTGATACGTTGGAATCAATATTCGTGGTGGATTATGAGCATTCTACATTGGTTATAAATACAATTTTTCTTTAGTTTGCTATAGGGTGCATGTGTGGGCTTGCCAAAGAGAGACAGAGAGATAGAAAAAGAGAGGGAGAGAGAAATCACCCACGTGGCTGGGTGGCATGCCGCAGTCTCCTTTCCACCATAATTCTTTTGGGATTTTGAGCATGCACCCACATCCACCAGATCTGGGACTTGAACCACACAGTTAGCCATGTGGAATCCAGCCACCTTAACCAACATGCCACTGGCTGGCCTAATCATACAGGTTTTTTTAAAAGTCTACTTTGCTAGGACAACTTTAGTAAGGAATCTGAAAGTAGAATCACAAGCTTCTTCTCAAGCCTGGGAAGCTAATAAGCCCAAGGCTCGCCATCATATGACAATCAGAGTCTGCGATTCTGTAGATCTGAATGAATTCCTCTCTTCTCGACATCTCCAGAATATCCTGGTGTTCCTGCCAAGAATTGATAACCTTACTCACCTGTAAGGAATTGTACACATTGTGGTCCCTGGCCAGTGTATCTGGTTGGGTTTGGTTTTGAAGGTGATGTGCCTTGTCTCCATGAAGTCAGCCTTCGTTTCCTAACATTGTCTCGTCACACCTGATTCTGTGCACATTCTGAAAAGTAATACTGTATGAAAGCCTCGAATGTAACCAGTATTTCCAGTTAGGTCCTTTTGGAAGGACAACTGATTCTTGTTAAACTTAGGCACATAACTATGCTGCCATGAAAATCAGAATACTCACAAATACCTTCTAAATTCTGGAGAGATCAGATAGGAGAAAAAGTAATTATTTATTCTCTGTTCACAGAGGTATACTTTACTCCCTCTGGGCCATGGACTGCTGCCTGTGGGGCCACATGGTTGAGGGGTGGGCTGCCAGTGAGTGGGGAGGGGCTTGCCTGTGTCTGCAGCCCCCCACCGTCCCCATGGCTGCCTGAGCTCTGCCTCTTGTCAGATCAGCAGGGTACGGGATCCCGTGGGGGCGCAGACCTGTTGTTTCGTGTGGAGAGCGGCTATCTTGAGAAAGCGTGGTGTGACTTGTAGACGCTTGTAGAAGTGTGCTTTTGAGTTTTATTAATAATGACTTTAAGAGTATTCTTCTATAAAATGTTATTTGTTATTTATTTTTTGTTGTTGCCAATATTTGATATTTGATACTACAGGACAGTATGAGGTTAAAGGAAGTTATATGTGTTTATTAGATTTGTTTTAAAAAGATTAGAAAAATTGTATGGCGTTAGTTTTCACATCTTCAAACAATTTACATCCTAAAGCAACTGGCTTTACATTCATTCCATTTCCTCTCCTCCCATTTTCTGCCCTTTAAATCCACAGCCTTCCCCATTCAAAAAACCGTGTTCAGCCAAATGTGTCCCAGCAAAGTGGCACCTAATGTGGGGTAGGAAAATTAAGGTGGTTAGTCATTACATAAATGACATTCTTTTAGCATCTATGGACCCAAAAGAGTTATTAAAATATTTGCAGACACTGAGTTAAGGCTAAAACAGTGGGGATTGGTGGTAGCCCCTAAAAAAAGTACAAGTGACTCCTTTTACTTACTTAAGACACATTATTTCTAACAAATCTGCCCTCAAAAAGTTTCACTTCAGTTGGGCACCCTAAAAACATTAACTGATTTTCAAAAATTATTATTATTATTATTTTATTCTTTTTTTTTTTTTTTTTGAGAAGTTTTCGCTATAGGGCACGCACGCACACGTGCCCAGCGTGAGTTTTAAGCCACCCGGTCTGGGACGCGAACCACGGTCGACTACATGGGAGTCCAGCAACATAGCCATTATGCTAACTGCTGTCCCGATTTTCAAAAATTATTAAAAAATATAAATTGGCTACAGCCCAGTTTAAAGCTTACCACTAGTCAATTACAACCACTTTTTGACATTTTAAAAGGAGATCCTCATTTCACTTCTCCTCAACAGCTCACCCTCAGAAGTAAAACAGCTCTTAAATTAGTAACATTGGCTATACAAAGTGCCTGTCACAGTAAACAAAGACTTACCTATAACCATCTTAATTTTTCCTACCCCACATTAGGTGCCACTTTGCCGGGACTTGCTCAAATGAACCCGTTTTTCTTGAGTGGGGAAGACTGTGGATTAGAAATAAACGCAGTAACAAACACGCAAAGACACCTAAGTATAGAAAAGTGCAGACTGAGTGGGCCCAACTTCTCTGATGGACAGGTTGCCAGGAACCGGCCTTGGGTTTATTCTTTTACAGGGCAGATAATGGGGGGAGAGGAAGTGGAGTGCAGAGCCAGTTGCTTAATGCAGAAATGACCGGCACCAGGTAATTGTTCTCATCTTTTTGGGGCAGAATCTGATAAACACATGTAACTTCCTTTAACCTCATACTGTCCTGTAATATCAAATATCGACAACAACAAAAAAATCACCACCAACAACAAACATTTTATTTAAAGATACTCTCATACTCGTTGTTAATAAAATGTGCCTCAAAAACACATTTCTGTGTGCATCAGAAGTCACACCTTGTTCTCGAATGCGCCGCTCTCCACAGTTACGTGATTGTCTCCCTGTTCATTGTAGTGTGGTAGTGACGGAAGTGGGGGGCACTGTGGACATGGGGCACTTGGGTCACCCCAGGACCAGCCCCTCTTCCATCTCTCATCTTTGGAGGGATTATCTTCCATAAGGTAGATTTCTGGTGCTGGGGAGTTTGGAGATAACTGCTCTACCTAAATGTAATAACCTATAAATAGTTAAGTGCAAGAGAAGAGTTTTCTTAAATTTATAAAAAAAAAAATGAAAGAACTAGCAATTTTTTTAAGAGAGATTTTTGCTCTAGGGTGTGTACACTTGACAGACAGAAAGTGAGAAATCACCCCTCCAGGGAGGGAAGGCCATGCTACAGGCCTCTCTCCTCCACCCTCCTCTCTGGATTTTGGGCACGCATGTGCATGTATACACACACACACACACACACATACACACGTCCAGCATAAGCTACCAGGTCTGGGACGCAAACCATGGTTGACTGCGTGGGAGTCCAGTGACATAATCATTACGGCATCTGCTGGTCCCAAACTACCAATGTTTTAAATGAAAAAATCATTTAAAAAACACATAATTCTTTGTCAGATCATTTAGTCCCATGTGATCAGTTCTTGTTTAGCTTGATCTTGGTTAGTAGTTTCATGACTCTCTAAGGTGTTTCTATTAGAGCTCTGGAAATTCTTGCTCACTTCAGTGGAATGGTCTTCATTAAAGTAATCAGAAACCTGTACTTTTCAGTATTTTTCATGCATTTTCTTGAAGACAGAACACCTTTTGGATTATTTGCTTGCAAAGCTTTCAGGAAAGCATCTGTAAAACAGCTATCAGTGACCAAAGAAGATGGCCATTGTTAAAGATTTGATGAGAATTTGTTATAACAATGACGCATTTACCAAGGGAATTGTTGTTTCTGTGGCATGCAGCACTTTAACATAATGAACAACATATCCACACAAATATAATCCCAGATGGTTGAACATCTCTTCTATTTGACAGCACTTCCCATGTAACTTAACATAGCAAATAAGCTTACTTACTTTAACATCTCTGTCTTAATAG